CACATGCCTCCACTCTCCCGATTGTTAGTCCAGCAGCGGCAATCCTGACGAATGGCTGGAGACCCGGCACAGACCACCACTTCACCACTTCACCACTTTAGAATTGCATCAGCTCTTGTGTGCTTTGGTTAAGCCTGCCACTCTACATTGCCCTAACAACTTTGGTACTCGAAATTGTTACTTCTTGTCCTCGTAACCGCCATAAACATTCGCTCTTCCTCAACTTTGTAATCCACGCTCGCCTCCGTCAAGCGTTACGTTCTCTAATGAACCAGCACGTTGTTAACGTCTTCTTCTTTTATGCGAATAAAAGTTGTGCCAAAGTACCGCTTGGTGAGTTGGTGTGACCCGATTATTCATCTCGAAGCAAAAGTTGGTCGGACGGAATTCGTGAATTGGTCTCATCGGAAATCCAAGGAGGCGATTGAAGACTGCCGGATTGTGCGAAGCTAGTCTTTGGTCCAGTGTCCTACGGCCCTGATGACCACGTGCTAAGCCGTCGCATGTCCCGTCGTGACTGACATGTTGAGCTGACGTGCATTTCGAGTGAAAGTATTTGGTGAAGAGATTCGAAGGCCGACCCCACCAGAAGACGACGGCCGATTCCTCCTCACCTGCTGTCGACGGGCTTTACTGGCGCATTCATGTTGACTCTGTTTCCGTGGCAATCTCCTTCGATTCCGGTGAAAACGTGCCAAACTTTCGTCCATTGTTGTCTGACGGACGTCATCAGAGCAGGCTTTCGTCCTAACAATCATATTGAGGCTAGCAAGTCAAGCAATCTCCAAAACATTAGCTTGAATAGAGTTGTAAGAATGATAGTCTGCTCTGATGTTGTCTGTCAGACAAAAACGAGCGAAAGTTCGACACGTTTTCGTAAGAATCGAAAGAGATTGCCGCGGAAACAGAGTCAACATGAATGCGCCGGTAAAGCCAGACGACAACAGGTCAGGAGGTGCTGGTGGGATCGGCCTTGAATTTCTTCTTCAAGCTCTTTCACTCGAGATGGATGTAAATTCAACAAGAATGAAGCAAGAAATTCGTTGAAAGCCAACTTTTCATCGCATATAAGTTGATGAGCTTTTTGCCTTTGTGTGTGTATAGAAAAGCGAGCATAATCAGAACCAAGACAAGAAATACCAGTCAAGTCGTCTCCTTTTTTCAGACGGCTCAACACTCTGGCCATCTTGGAGTTAATTAAGTAAGCACAATTAGTCGTT